ATGGATTTTAGAGGAGAATTGACAAATCTTGGCAAACTTTTTTATAAAGAAAAACCCTTCGAAAGATTTGAGATACTTTCCCCCCTCTTTCCTCCGGATTAAACTTGGTTTTAATCTCAAGAAGAGCCACAATCTCGTTTGGTCGTGATTGTCGCTGCTGCGATTGTTTCCTTCGTGAAATAAGAGCATAATTAACCTTGTCAACCGGATCTGATCTGTGGTGGTCCACGGACTAATGCGTCCCAGGTACAGGCAAAGATCCCACACAAAGCAATAGGAGATAAACTATTATTGCATATTATTTGATAAAGTTGTAATTTTTACCTTTTTATTGTGTAAGAAAATCTTATAAAAAGATTAGGTTTTCTTTCAATTTGAACTTGTAATAGATAAATGGTGTAACATGTTTAATGACAATGAAAACAATAACTTTTGACGAAAACACATAGCTCTGATGTGGTCCTACAGGGTGGAATGGTTCGGACCCATGCTCGGAACCAGGCATGTTTTCTCAAAAAAGGAAGAAGCTCCACGGTGGGCGCCAAACTGTTAATGTTAAGTAATCACACAGTCAATTGTATCTGCGGTTGGATGGGGTTGTTGAGTATTGATGAGGGGCCACTTTTTTCCTCGACTTTATATCTAGTTCTTGAGTTAAGTGGCTAAAAAATCTACACAAGTAGAAACTCGTAAGAGGACGGGGCTTAGGTCCTCGTGGTTCCTCCAACGATCAAGTCAGCTGGTGAACTTGAGTGGGGAAAGTGAATAACTGCTAGAGTCTTGTGTGTGCAGTATATATGCTTAAAGATCAGATTTGAGTATATCTACAAAGATAGGTCAAAAGATCAAGAAGATCTGATCAGATCTCTCTCTCAAAAGATAGAATAGTATCTTTATTTATACTGAGGGTATAAGGATAGATCGGTCACTTTGGCCGAATGCAGGATGGCGGTGGCAAAGTGTGGGCTGGCGGTTGAGTCAACACCTACTTTACAGGTGTTAGCTGGCGACTAGATGAGCCATCAGCTCAACATTAAATAGGAAGTGTTCGGAGGTATGGCGGTGCATACGTGGTCCGATGAGTCATGAAGGCTATCAAGGCTAGAGGCATGATGTGCCTGTCATGCATTAAATGTGATGCTGACACATTGCCAGTGAGAGAGGCTCGAGGCAGAGCCATTTAGCTTCGTTGAGAAGTAACGCCTTTCGAGTCGTCCTCGCGAGGCGTTTAGCATCTGGTCGAGTGGGCTCATGGCGAGTCGTCTTCGACAAGAGGGTCGACTAATACCTCCTTTCGTGTCGACATTAAGGAATGTCGACTCAACAAGTCGGCTAGGTTAGAATCCTTGCTGGTCTCCAGCCACCAACTTGATTGGGGCATTGCATGTAGATGTACACCTATCCGTTGCTAGCAAATGGTCGTACTTAGGTGATTGGGAACATCATAACATTAGGTGTATTAAAAGTGAGGATCAAAGAGTTCTAGTGACAGACTGTGAAATAAAAGAGAGGTGGACGAGTTACTTTTATCATCAATTGTTTAATGATAACCAAACAAGTAAGCAAAATAGAGATTTTGACCATATAGTGAATGATAGAAACTATAGATATTGTTAAAAAATTAAGATTATCGAGGTTAAAGATGCTCTAAAAAATAAAAGTGAAAGAGCCGTCGGACCAGACAGTATCCCTATTGAAGTTTAAAAATGTCTTGGAGATATAGGCATAGGATGATTAACTAAATTATTTAATAAGATTATCGAGACGAAAAGAATGTCGGATGAGTGGAGGATTAGTACTATTGATATCAATATACAAGAACAAAGGAGATATACAAAGTTGCTCAAATTATCGAGGTATAAAACTCATGAGCCATACTATAAAACTTTGGGAGAGGGTAATTGAGTAAGGACTAAGAAAAGAGACAAGTATATCTAAAAATCAATTTGGTTTTATGCTTAGGAGGTCAACTATGGAACCTATACATATTTTGAGATGGTTGATGAAGAGATATAGAGAGAAGAAAAAGGTCTACATATGGTTTTTATCGATCTAGAAAAATCTTATAATAGAGTGCCTAGAGAGAAAATATGGTGAATGTTAGAAAAGAAACATGTATCTAGTATATATATATTGATATGATTACAGATAGGTATGATAGAGTAACAATTAGAGTAAGAACTAATGAAGGAGAGACTAAACATTTTTCTATTATCATAGGTTTACATCAAGGGTCAGTTGTAAGTCCTTATCTTTTTGCATTAGTTATGGACCAACTTACTAAGCACATTCAGGATGAAATCCTATAGTGTATGTTATTTGCCGATATTATAGTGTTAGTTGATGAAACTAGAAGAGGCATTATTTCTAAAGTAGAAAAATGCAGACAAGCTCTTGAATCTAAATGTTTTAGAATTAGTAAAACAAAATAGAATATATAGAGTGCATTTTTAGTAAGAATAGGAAATGAAAAGAGCCTATGGTACATATTGATGGCTAAGAAATATTTAAAACTAATCATTTTCTCTATTTAGGATCAATCATTAGTCATGATGGTGAGATAGAAGATGATATTGTGCATCGAATCAAATCAAGATAGTTAAAATGGAGGAGTGCTTCAGAAGTCTTATGTGATCATAGAATACCAATGAAACTAAAAGAAAATTCTATAGGACAGTTATAAGACCAACTATGCTTTGTGGGTCAGAGTGTTGGGCAATTAACAAATAACATGTTCAAAAAATAAATATAGCAAAAATAAGAATATTGCGATGGTCTTGTGGGTATACATTAAAAGATAGAATAAGAAATGAGTGCATCCGTAGTAAATTAGAGGGTGCTCCTATTGAGGATAAAATGAGAGAGAATAGATTAAGATAGCTTGGTCATGTACAACGGAGACCCCTTAGTGTACCGATTAGGAAAAACGATAATATTAGAGTTAATAGGGCTAGGAGATCTAGAGGTAGATCTAGAATGATTTGGTTAGAATCAATTAAGAAGGATATGATTAGGATTAATTTAACGGAGGAGATGACTCATAACAGAATGGAATGGAAAAATAGAATTCATGTAGCCGACCTCAAATATTTGTGATAAAGGCTTGGTTGTTGTTGTTGTTGACTTTCAAAATATATATTAAAATCTTATATTAAATTTTCTATATAATATTTCTAGTTAAAATGTGATTGACAACCCATATATCAAATTTAATATGCCAAATTTCTAGTAAAATCCTAATTGTAACAGAAACCATATCGTTTCTCACATTTGAAATAAAATTGTTCAAAATAAAACATAATTTCATACTAAAATTTAAACCAAAAGCTATACATAATGAGAAAATTTTCACCTTGATAAGAAGTCGGAGTTCGTTAGTGTCAGAGGTCATCGGTGTCTGAGAGGTTAGATGACGTCGGAGTTCGGCATCGTTGGAGAGAATTGAGGTAGGCGGCAACACTTGGCATTGAAGTGAATCAAGAGAGAAATTTGGAGGATGAGGCTCAATTTAGTTGGAGTGGAGAGAGATAAAATTGAGGGACGAGGAGACAAGGTGGGAGAGGATAAGATTTGAGGGAANGCTGTGCCCTAATTTTTGGGCATGAATTATACACCCAACAAATTCCCATAATTTTTGGGCATGACTGGGTTTTATACACCCAACAAATTCCCGTGTATTTGTGGAGTATGTTGTTCTTCTCTATCGAGTACATGAGACAAATAGTTGGTGTATATACATTGGGGTGAATTTAAGTCTATTATTTACACAGGACCATTAATCCCATGTTGTTAAAAGGTAGTTTAATATCTTAATTAGCGTTAGCTAATTGCACAGGACTACTAGTCCCGTGTATTTTAAATAGGATATTTTGCAAAATCTACTTCTTTTTGGCCAGCGTTGATGATGTGGCCAAAAAAAGTCATTTTTGTTAATTATTTTTCAAAATGAGTCTCTTTCAAAGTATTCTAAAAAAAGCGGTTAGGGTATCAGAAATAATTTGGCAAGGTAAAAAGATCTTAGAACTTTAAAATATATCTAAATTTTTATAGACTATTTTACGCACAGTGATAACTAGATCGACTTTTCAAACTACTCCTACACTCATGGATCCCATAATGTTTGGGTGTAATAAGTGTCGGAGTAGTTTGAAAAGTATAGTCTAATTGTCACTACTTTATTTCGTAAAGCTTTTAACTCTGAAATATATATAGGTAATGTAATATGATAGTGGTGGTCTACCAAGTTTAGATATTGGATCCAAAAAAGGGTGAAGGATTTCAAAATAACGCATAAAATAGAAGCACATCAAAATAGTAGACCGCTTTATTATTAGTATTGTTGATAACTCAGCCCAAAATCGAACCCGCGACCATAAGGAATCATATTAGAACATCCCAACCATTGAGATCACACGCGGTGGGTGAGTAGGATCCCTACATTCGCGACAGAGGTGCTTGAAACGGAAGGTGTAGACGACAATCTTATTCTTTACAAACAACATCTAAGAATCTCAGAGATGATACGGTCATCTTAAACCTCTGAATGTGGCACCCATAAACGTGAGAAGCATCAGAACGATCTCTCTCCTTCAAGTAAGAAGCATGATACAGGGAGATCGAAATGAGGTCAGGATATGATCCCAAAGGCCACTTGGAATGCTACCAAGCTGACGTTGCCCCTTGAAGTATGTGAGCAATGAGTTGCTACAAAACTAGGAAAAAACAATTGGCACATCAGATGTTTGGTTTACCTCATGATTATTGCGGCCAAAAAAGTAACCCTGTGCGTTAAAAGTTAGTCGTTAAAACAGAGACTCGCAGCGGCGTGATCTTTGGCTTTGAATCCCATCACAGTAAAATAATTGGATAATGCTAAAGAATCACTGTAAAGATACAATACCTTCTCACTTTCATTGAAAGGAAATCGGAGGCCAAACATAGTTTCGTAACAACAAATCAAAGGAATTAAAGTATTAAACCACCTGTACTGGGACGGAGTATACTAAACATGTTCTTTATTGAATGTTTCCTGAGCCTGTAAATTACAATATATACATGAATATTGCTCTGTATTTGCTAATAATCATACAATTTGATCACCCAGATGTTGTTACATCACTTTTCATGGTTACTTGGAAAGGTTTCCACAGCGGCCATCTTTGTGAGGAAGTGAAATAGCTGAGCTGAACAGTAGAGAAAAAAGCTGTTGAACGGCATTAGGAATTCTTTCCTTCTGATTTAATACCAATCTGCTGTTTGAAACTAATATCATACCTTCAATTCGAACCAAATTCCTTGTTCCATTGTTCAAGCTCTTCCCACCTGCTCTTCTGTAAGCTTGGTCTAATAACCACCATTGCATTCTTAAAGTCTTCATATCTCAGAGGTCGCAACTAGAAAACAAATGAACATTTAATGCATCAGCATTCAACAATAGAATTATTTTAAATAATTATTTCAACTATATTCCGCTTTCTGAAAAGAGTAGCTAGCTAGCTGTATAAAAGTGACTAGCTTAACTCCAAAAGCTATATAATTCCATTAGATCCTACGTCAGTTTAAAACAATAGAGAATTTGGGGTTAAATAGATGAGGTGGGTTAATGAATGGCTTACATCAGCTACGCCAGGTGATTATAGTAACTGGAATTCAACCAAATGAATCAAAACAGAGACTAAGATAGAATCAATAGGATGTTTACTCTCGACAGATGGAATCTGCTGTCACTTTCAATGTTCAGGATGTTTACCCTGTTCAGAACTTCACATGGAATCAATAGGATGATTAAGAGGGCACAAGAAACAAGGTATGGTAACTAGCCAAGAGTATCAATGGGAAAGATATACAGTTGCCATCCTGTCATACACAAAAATAACTCTTTTGTATGGTTCATTGGATATATGATCAACCCTTGTACATACTGTGGCTACTTCATTACTCTGAAATGTGGTCAACCTGAATATGAATTATCATTATAGCTCTAGAGTCATGTTCTTGTCAAGACAAGGATAGTCGTTATCTTGTCGACCTGAAAATTAACTATCAAAATAAACCCCAAACAAGCATGACTATATGATTAGAAGTTCATGATAGAGAACAGAAGGAGAATAGAGGGATGGAAGGAAAGAGTACCAATCTGGTATGTCTGTAGGGAATTGCATATTGGGGTAACTTGATTTGTTTAGGTTACTTAGCTTTGTAAAAGAGAAGGAAGAGAATATTAATTTCTATCAGCTTTCTGAAACGGGAATTAACAAAGAAAAAAGAATCTTGTAAGGATTCTGCTATTGGAATGGAAGATGCTTTAGTTTTCAGAAGGATAAATGGCATGGAGATTCAGTTGCAACTACAAGTCTCCAATGCTATTCGTAATAGTCAGGGAATTGGAATTACAGCTGAAGAGTGGATGACGAATTGTTGGAAGTCTATACTTTGCCAAATTCTGGATTGATGAAAAAACAACAGTTACATGAGGTGGCTCAGTACCTCAAACAATTGAAACCAGAAGGACATCAGGATAGGAACGACAAATGCTCATGGAAATGGTCACCGATCATCATGTAGCAATCATTTAAGGAAGATTGTTGGAAAAGAATGATTGTGTTTTTGTAGTGTAGAAAACTTTAATTCATCAAGTTGATGGCGATATTGGCGTTCAGTTTTCTACTGCCTCATCACAAGCGGGAGGAAAACCACAATACTTATAAACCAGAAGAAGATGGATTGTTTTGTGAAAGAGTCTCCGGACCCAATAAAGTGGAGTTTATGCTTGTTGAAATGATCAATTGATCGGAAGTGTGAAAGAAAATCAAGATACAGAACTTGTGAAACATAAGCAGTAGAATTTGCTGGTTCTCAAATATGAAGACATCAGATGGAATCATGGGATACCTCAAACTCGGACACCCAATAGCTCGTCTGTGATATTGGAACATCTTTCAAGCTATATTGCGAATCTTTTAAATAAGCCCCTTAAAGAAAATTGAAGGCCTAGCATATTGCAGCTTGCAATGCACTCGAAATTTAGATTTATATGTTAAGACCAATAAACTGTCATAACATTCAACGTTATCAGGGTACCCTATACTCTAACATGCATCTTGGAAGGAGTGACATGAAGCTAATAATCTTGGTATACTTGCAAATGAAAGGGGAATGACCCATGACCGGTTACATGGGAAGTACTAGTTATACCTCGCAGAGAGAAAGATATTTGTTTGATATAGGATTTTCAATTTCTTTTAAAGAGAGATACTTTCATAGAAAGAGTATAGGATGAAGGAGAAATACCTAGAAGGCAGCTTCTGATAAATGACCAGGTATCTAGCACTGATGATCAAGGTGAGACTGTTTTTTATGTACACCCAGGCAACGAGTTCATCTGTGAAGACATTTGGATTTGTTCTGATTGTCATGTCCTTTAATGATCATTCTCTTTTATGCGTTAAGCTTATTTTTAGTTTATGAAGGCGTGTCTCTCCTACTGGTCCTTTAGCAGGAGACAAATTTAGTAATGTGACACTATGTCGACATAAACTTTAAGGACTTCTCCCTAATTTATTTAGGGGCCTTAACTATCTTCATTTTAACATGCAGCAAAAAAAAAAGAAAAAAGAAGAAAGAAGATTGCACAACAAGCAAATGCGACACCTACCTGATTCGGTTTTACGGTAAGAATATGCTTTGGACCTAGTTCTCTGATTGGCATCATTGCAGCTTCTTCACATAGCGCTTGCAAATCACTTCCAGAATACCCTATGACAATAATTAAATAGATAATAGAATAATAATTCATACACCAAATGAAGGCTCCACGACGCGTAAAGAAAGTATCATACCTTCAGTCTCCTTAACAAGTCTCTCCAGATCTCTACCTGAAGGAGAATGAACAATCAGTACAGATTTGAATAAAGTAGAGCTTAAAGGAAACTAGGAGACTCAAGAATCACTCGTGAACTTCTTTCTTCATATGTTTTTATGATATAACTAGCTATCAGTATGCAAGACTAGGATTTCATGGATCATAAGCTAAAATTGTCAAAGATGTAAAATTTGAAATAGTATTATTTGTTAGCCATTCTGATGCTCACTGGTCCCAGTTTTCCCATTCTTTACCGCATATGAAATAAAATGATAATTCTTTATTCTCATTCATAGCTTTCGTAACTAAAGTAAACTCTTTGGATTTATTTTGATATTAAGCAACATACTTTTTCATCTTCATTTTTTTTAATTGTGTGTTCCTAAGAAAAGGAATTTGTCCATTTTTTTCTTTTTTTTCCTTTTTTTTTTTTTGAGTCAAAAAATGAAATGGTGTGGAAACACTTTCCATTTATGACCAAAGGAGAAGATTATTCTTTTTACCAAACATATGCAGATCAAATTACGAAGAGAAAATCCTATTTTATATATGTACACACACGCATATAGGAGATTTTTGAAGTTGCCCATTTCATAAATTTAATTATCAGGTTCAACCTAGTTGAAATTTATTTACCAAAATCGACTAACTTTCAACCATGTCAGCATGTCACGTTGAAAGTTGGTCAATTTTGGAAGGAAAAAAACTGCATTTTTTTGGATATACAGGATGGTCAATCCCACGTATTTAGCAAATTTCATTATCTATACAGGATTTGTAATCCTGTATATGATACCTTTTTAAAACTTCCAACAAATTAGATAGTTTGGTTTAATGGTCGGTGCTAGACTTAAAGTTTGCTCTAAATGGGCATGGGTTCAAATCCCACATCTATAATGTATTTTTCCCCACTTTTCTATTTTTAAATGTCATACGGGATTGCGAATCCAATATGCTTCACATGAGTAAATTTTATCAACATTGAAAAGAAAATTTAAAAATTAAATGCAAATTAATTTGACAAATGTAGGATCTGAACCCACTACCTTTCAAGAAGGCTTAAAAACTATTAGCTTAAACAACTTGACCTGGTGTGATATTTATTAAAATTTGTGAAGACATATGATACGAGCTTGCTAATTACATGTATAATTAGTGACATTTGCTAATTACACGTATGATATTTGCTAATTACACGGGATTAGCAATCCTGTATAGTTTAAAAAAATATAGTTTTTTCAATATCAACCAACTTTCAGCACACGATGCTAATGTGACTGAAAGTTGCTCAATCTTGCCAATTGAATGTCAATTAGATCGATTTTGAGAAATATGTATTGGAATTGGTCTATTTTAAAATTTTCTCCATTAATATATTAGGTTTCAATAGTGTTCCTAAGTATGGTAGGAACTGTCCAGTCTTAAGGCAAAAGAATACTCTAGTTGCATCATTAATGAGTGACATACACATACACACACACAAAAAGAACATACACACATACATGTATGTGTATATACACACACGCACGCGCACACACACACATCTGTGTACAGTTACAATACACTTAGGGTGTAACTTAGTCACACAGACCTGTGAGAATACATGTCTGGCCATGGATATTAATGATCCACACCATTCATTATGATATATGCATTTGAAACTTCATAGGGATAAAAAATTACATAGATTAGATATTTCTAGTTTGTGCATCTAATGACCTAGAAATGAATGGTCTGTAATGACCCAAAATATCGTTTATTTTGATTTGTTTGATTTATAGGTTAGAAAATTCCAACCACCTGGTTCTTTATCCACATATATTTAATGACACGTAAACTACAACGAACGATTTACATCTAAGACCTAGAAAAAAATGGTCTGTAATGGCCCAAAGTATCAACAGATGGGCAAAAATATATTTTGAAAATACATGTTTGACCATAAACATTAATGATCCATACCGTTCATTATGATAAATGCATTCAAAACTTCAGAGAGATAAAAAATTACATAGTTTAGATATTTCCAGTTCGTACATCCAAGACCTAGAAATAAATGGCCTGTAATGGCCTAAAGTATCATTTATTTTGAGTTGCTTGATTTATAGGTTAGTAAATTCCAAACCACCTGATTAATCCACATACATTTGATGACACGTAAATTACAATGAATGATATATATATATATATATAAATATATATATATATGAGACATATGGGTATGCTTGGTACCAAGCATAAACTATAAGATGAAACTATAAGATGAAACTGTAAGATGAAACTTTAAACAGACATGAAGTAGTTGAACATGGCTCTCATACAAATTGTAAGCGGAATAAAAAACCGAGAAATGAAAGAGAACTTGCAGAGTGAGACGACCGATACTCAAGATAATATCTTTATTATGATCCAAAATATCATACAAAAAACAGACTTAATTTACAGAAGATTTATGTCTCACATATTCTTCTCTCTTACAATCTTTTATTTTCTCATACAAAGCTAGCTTAAACTTCAGACTAAACTTATATTTATAGACGTCGTTCAGAACTTCTGAAGGCTTCGATTCTTTTCTGACAACGACATAACATCTTTACTTTTCAAAAATATAACTTTAAAAAAGTAAACAATCTCTCTTTATTTAAAGTAGCATTGATAAGGTTTCTTTTAGAAAGCTGCTTTATAAAGTAGCTTTTATAGAAAGAGAATTCTAGATGGCTCCCCGAGGCTCAATCTAGAATATAATATTGCTTATGAAGCGTGAGTTTTGCCTTTAAGGTCTGGCAAATTAGTGTCAAATATTTCTGCCCAAATGTCATCCGGATCTTGAACATCTTGAATAGAGGTGTCTTCTTCCATAGAATGGTGGCTTCTGGTATCACCAGTACCAAAAGCTTCTACAAATTGTCTTTTAAAATATTCTAAGCATTTCTGTTGAATTTTTGCTTCAGAGCTTTGAGGATATTTCCTTCTCATCATTTTTGCTATTTTTAGCATTGGATTTTCCTTTTGAATCTCTTGAGTCATATGAGTCTCAAGAACATAAGTATTTTTCTGAATTATTTCTTCTAATTGTTTAATTTTGATTTCAAGGCAAATGTCATTCCACCAACGACAATAGAATTTTCTTTTAAGGACTGGTATATGAGCAATAGTCCAGTCACATTCAAACGACCAATTCCAAATCCAAGGTATCTCTGCTTCAGCAAAGAAATGAATAAGACGCATGTCATCTATGAACTGACTTTCATCCATTTTAGCAAGAATAGGATAGGAATCTAACCCATGATGAGTATAACTTCATCAGTGGTTCAGGAATAATACTTATTTCAATACCATAAATTTCCTATCATTTATAGAACTAAGCTGGGATACCCTTTTGAATGGCCTCTGGACAGAGTTTAATCAGCCAAGTATGTTTATTCTTAGGGTTCTGATATAAGAACACGTCATGAAAGGCCTGTTTATAGCCCCAGTAATTTTAAAAAAAAATGTTTCTTTAGAATATTAGGCTTTTACCAGAGGTAGCTCTTGATTTGGATTAATAGCCCAATTGCGTGGAAGTATAACTTCTTGGATGATGCATTTACTGAAGCTAGGCAGAACATTATGATTCTCGCTAGCCCAAAAATGAGTAATTTTTATACCCTTCTGTATAAGAGTTCTCATCCATGCTCTAGATTTCAGAGATAATGAGTTTCATGCAGATATTTCTGCCTTAACTTTTCGGGATCATTCATTAAAGAAATATCTTCTGGTTCTAGATATAAAACTACTTCTGAAATAGGCTTTTCTATCAATTCGACTTCTCCTTTTACTATTGAAGTAAAAGGCTCAGGACTATTTTTTGGTGATATTAAATCGTTTATGCCTTTATAAAAGGCCTGAGATGGGCTGCTAGAATTATTTTTCTTAGCAATAGTTCTCCATGAATTGGGCTGAGGCGGAGTATAACTCCTTTCAGAATTATTATTTTGGCCTGATGGGCCTGAACTGCTAGGGCCTCCTCTCCCCTCCTTTTTTACTCCGTCTCATTTGTACTCTGTAAAAATTCTCTAGTTAGAAAATCAGGACCTTTAATATACTCAATTTTAAATTGATACATAGCTAATTCAGCTTGCCATCTAGCAAACATTTGCTTAGAAACTAAATTTTTAACATCTTTTTCAATAATGCTTTTAACAGAACTACAGTCAATTCTTAGTAAGAATTCTTGATTTAAAATATCATCCCTAAATTTTAAAAAACATTTAATAATAAAAAATATTTTTTTTAATAGTAGAATAATTAAATTGGGCTTTATCCCATTTACCAGAAGTAAATCGAACTAATTGTTCTTTCTTAGTTAGAGGATCTACTTGTTTTAATATTCCTCCATAACCAATATTAGAAGCATCTGTTTCAACGATTTTGAACCAGTGTATATTTGCTAAATGAATGCAAGGTAAACATTTAACTTCAAGTTTAATTTTCTAACTGCAACAGTATGTTGCTCAGTCCAAGTCTCAGCATTTTTTTAAGCCAATCATATAAAAGAACTGTATCTTGAGCTAGATTTTTATAATAATCTGCTACATAATTTAAAACACCTAAAAATCTTTGTAACTGTTTAGTATCAGTTAAAATTTTGATGCAAACTCAATACTACGATTAATAGAAATTATAGATCTTTTCTATATATTATGATCCAGAAATCTAATCTGTGTTTGAAATAATTTTATTTTTGGGGCAGATATAGCTAACCTATTTTTTATAGCTAGATTTTTAAAAATTTCTAAGTGTTTAATATGTTAATAAAACTATGAGAAAATATAAGAATATCATTTATATATGATAATATACAATCCGTATAAGGAATAAAAATTTCATTCATAATATTTTGAAATTCAGAAGGGACGTTTTTAAGCCCAAAAGCAGTTTTATACTTATCTCTTTCTTCAATTTGGATTTGCCAATAACCTGGTTTTAAATCAAACTTAGAAAATATTTTGGCATTATTAATACGATTTAATAAATCCCTTTTATTAGGAATAGGGTATCTGATCCATTTTAGGACAGTATTTAATGGTTTATACTTGATAAGTCCTTGTTTTTCTTTATTTGATAAGTCCTTGATAAGTCCTTGATAAGTCCTTGTTTTATTAGGAATAGGGAATCTTATTAAGTCTTTGTTTTTCTTTATTTGTTCTTCAACTTGAACAAATACTTCTTTTAGAAAATTTATCTGATTATCTTTCAAGATTATATTCTTGATTTCATTTAGCATTCTTGTCTGAGGATCTGTAATAAATTCAAATATAATTTCTTTATACTCAAATTTATCTTTTATGCCATTGGTGTCAATTTAACTAATTGGCATAATATTATGCAGAAATGGAGTCCCAAGTATAATATGTTAGGATAAATTTTTAACTAAGATACAAGGAGTTAGTATACAAATCCCTTGAACACATATATGTGTTTGTGGTAATTTATATTTTACCTCTAATTGATTACCATTTGCACTACTCAAAGTTTGAGTAGTTTTTTCAAAGAATTTAGAATGAACTATGTCTTCGTTTATGCAGTTTAAATCTGCTCCACTATCGACCAAAGCTATAAGATCTGGTATAAACATTTGTTCAGCTATAACTAAACTAACTTTTATATATCACTTTTGAGAGGTAACTTGTTGTAAAATTTGTAATAGTGCATTAGTATCAGTATCACTGTCACTATGTTCACTATGTTGAACTATAGTATTTGAGTTTTCTTTATCATTTTCTAATTTTAAGAGAATGTATTTATTCTCTTGCTTTAAGTCTTCCACTTCCTTTTTAAATTCTTGTACCTCTTTATTAAGAGATGATAAAGATACATCCATTGAGGTATGGGCAATATTTTGCCTTTTTTTAAGACTTCAGAAAACCTATAAACATTGTTCGTATTTGGACTTTCTTTATTTTCTTTAGATATTATATTCTTTAAAAGATTTTCTTTTAATTCTGGGGATATATCTCCAGATAATATTTTTTCTATTAACTCATGATTTGATTTAATCATGTTTATTGAGAGTCCATTCATTTGGACTATAGTTTTCCAATATTCAGCTTCTTCATTACAGTTATTAACTGTACATTTACAATGTTCTTCTTTCTCAGATTCTGAGGTTGATGAATATAATTCATCTTCAGTATTACTGTTAATCATGATTTTATGTAACATTCTTTTAAGACCTTCGTTTTCTATTTCTTCAATCATTTTTTCTTCGTATAACAACGATTAGCATAGTGTCCGATACGGTCACATTTATAACAATGTATTTTATTTTTCTCTTTTTTAATTTTTCTATTTGCCCTATCTGGCTTTTCTTTTACTTTTTCTTTGAAGAATTTTTTCTTTTTCTTGAATTATTTTTTAGTTTTTCTTTTATTAGTAATACTTTTTTTATCAACCTTATATGATTGATCATAAGCAAATTGTTCACAAAACTCTCCTAGTTCTTTTCATTTTGTAAGTCTTTGAGACTTTAATTGATTTTTAAGTTTTAAATCATTACATAGAGCTAAACCCTCTTTAATACAGGCATTTGATAGATATTCATATGATAGATTATCATAAAGGATATAACCCTCATACTCAGATCGGATTTTATTCCGAACTTTTTCAGCAAATAATGTAGGTAAGTCATCAATAAATTTGACTTTCTAATGTGAGCTATTAGCATTACTCAGAGACAACTCTGCTTAGATAGGTGTCCTTATACCACCTAAAATGAGTTAAAAATGGACATCTAAAATTTTGTAATAACGTTCTAATTCTTTCACCTTTATCAAGATAAGCTCCAGTAAAATGGTGAGCAATAGATAACATTAAAGTATAAACAGCGTCTTCTCGCTGTATTCTAATAAGTTGGTCTCCTATAGTTTGAAGATGTATATTTGTATAATTATTTTGTTTTATAATTTTACTTAATTCTTTTATATGATCTTCATTAAGATCATTAGGCTTTATAAAAGCCGTAGCTTCTATAGTAGAAGGATACATATCTTTAAGATAAATAGGATCTATCAGTGGATTTACAGATCTAATGATTTTTCCTGTAGTAGTTTTCCACTGTTTTAAGTGTTCTTCTAAAACTCTTATTTGAGTTTCTTGGTTTTGAATATATTTTTTAAAAACCAAGGTACAAAAGATTTAAATTCCTGTTTTAATTTTAATTCTGAATAGTATATATCTACCTAGTTTAATTGATCTTTTTTGGAAAAACTTTTAAAAAACCATTTTCGAAAATCTTTATGGTTTTCAAGGTAAAATTCATTATTTAGAATTTCTCTTTCTTTACTACCTTTTTCAAAATTCATTTCATACGAAAACTCATTTCCGTATTAGGAGGTGAAATTTCATCCTTATATAAAGGATGAGGAATATTATTTTCGGAGAGATTTATTCCTTGAACAGAATTGGTTCTATAAGATTTAGATTTTGATAAAGAATTTCTGGCTGATGTAGCCACATCAGATATTCTGATGTAGCCACATCAGATATTCTGATGGTTCTAGATGGATTAAACGTTGTTTCAACTTCTTCATCTGTTGTTTGTACAATCTGATCAACATCTACATTAATAATAAGTAAAGGTTGTACAACGTTAGGTATAACCTAATTGTATGGGAAGTTTATTTCATCCCACTTTATCTGTCTATTAACAGCAATATTAGACAATAAAACATTCGTTTCTACCAAGACTGTTTTACCTGGTTTACAATGTATTTTAGCCTTAGGTGCTAAAGTATTAAGTACTTTATAATGAAACCTATAAATAATAGCAATTGTTTCAGATCCAGGTATAAAATTATAACCATGAGTCTTTATATTAAGACTTATTGCTTTAAATATATTCGGGTCGGTCAAAGATAGACTCAGATTAGGATAAACATTGAAATAAACAGGTCCATTATAAAGACTGGTTTTCATTATTCTCATTGAAATAAACAGGTCCATTTTAATACATATTTTTGTTTCACAAACACCTAGGCGTCTAGACGCTGGCTCAAACGCCTAGTCTGTCTAGCGCCTTCTGTAACATTGTTCATACCACCATATGAGGGTGACACTTGAATAACACTAATTTCGCATATATGACGTTAAGCATGTTTTATCAACTGATAAATGTATCCAGTTTCAAATGAAGGGATATATCAGTGCTGCATATTCAACTCTCTTTCATAAATACACATTTTTGGTGTCAAATACGTGTTTTATTTTGATTTTCTCTTTCTTGATATGTATAGGTTCAGATCCAAACCATGAAATTGGGGGTGGGGGGAGCCCAAACCATGAAAGTGGGGGTGGGGGGAGCCCATTATATACAACTCAAATGGCTATATGCAAATAGAAAATAGTTCCATACAGCATGGACATTAATATTTATACAAACTTGACATGCATACTTACCAGGAAGTGAAAATGCTTGACCTTTGAGTTGATTTTTGAGAAGTAATCTCCTAACATTTTCATCCGGTAGAGGTACGTATATTCTCTTTACCTGGACAGTTTATATACATTGAAGATATAGTTAAAGCATGACATATATTGAATGACAAAGTAGAACCTAATGTAGGAATTAGTTAATTAATGAAACTAAAGATAAAAGAAAAAAAAATCAAAACTATAAAAACACTACAACATATGCATGGGGCTATCTTAAATACAACTGAAACGAATAACAAAATTATAAGGGAAAGACGGATCGCTTGAGAATTGATCACAAACTGATAAGACGGCTTGATAGACGGAGATATAAGCAAGGTTTCCAAACTTTAGCTACTATTCCAACTCCATTTATGTGTGTGTCTGTGAGTGGGAGGAAAGCGAGGTTTCCAAACTATAGCTACAAGCACAATGTTCCCATTTGGAATAAACTTAAATTTAATTGTCAATTATTCTCACTTCTCCAGCCAAGGTACAACTTGTCTTGTTCTTTTTTTTTTTTTTCCTTTTGGTATCGTTCGACATGTATTGCAATACTGAATGAAGATAGAGGGAAGATATAGCGCTTCGAATTGATGGAGCATTATACATAAGGTTTTTCAATATATGCCCCTATAATCCTTCATATTAAGAAAATGCTATCATATTCAGAAATCACCCCCACCCCCTCCCAAAGCCAGCTGAGATCTTAGAAACTTGCCCCTCTCATCATCTAATATTTGATTTCAGACAGTATAAGGGGCCCCAAAACACCCCTTATAACCCTTTGCACATCTACCCAGAATTCTCAATCATCCAAGAAAGGGATAGCTAACCTCATTCTTCAAAAATATATTAGGCCACTTAACAAGTTAATGTATAAAAATATTTTCCTGTTATTACTAAGAAGTAAGGCTTAAAACCTATCTATTATGATATAAGGGGCAATTTTTCTATAGACAAAATATCTGTACCAAAAGGCCTTCAAAATAAATTGGCTGAGACTTCTTGGCCAGATTGAATTGCCAAACTTGGTTTAGGAGATTTCCAAACTAACATAAAACTACAAAATTTGACAATTTCTTAAGAGTTTGCTAAATAGGCTTACCAATCTTCTAAGAACAGCATCATCCAGCTCCTGAGGCTTGTTAGTTGCACCTGTAACAACATTTTAACCCATAATAAGAAAATTCTTGACTCGCATTCACTATAGAATTATTTACATTTATTGGGAAATCTTATTTCGCTGCTATTGGGTCCAAGTGGGGTTAACTTTTCATAGCTGTTTTGAAGTCTAGAACGTCTCTTAAGCAGCAATCAGGTTTTAAAAATCAAACGTAAAACTAGCAATTCCATAAAACTCTCAAAATAGACAAATATATGCTATATTGTAGAACATCATCGTACTTATAATATAAAACAGAGACCACATTATAATTAAAATATTTAGGGTCTGTTTAGCATACTAGGTACGCCAGTTTCAGAAAAGACAAAATGAGTTTATGGGCTTAGCCATTGTTTGGCAAATGACAAACGATGGAAAAACTAGTTCTTTTGAGGTCTACTTTTGCTCCATAACTTGGCTAGAAATAAACCAACTCTCACTTGGTTTATAAGAGAACTAGTTCCACTAGATTCTAGTCTTCAAATTAGCCAAACTAGGTTTTAAGTTAGAACTAGTTCAATAAAATCTAGTTTAGCATAACCTAGACCAAGTGGAGCTTTAGCAATAAACATGTAGTCCTTTAATCTAAATCAGGTTTTCAGCTCATAATCATCCTAATCAAGAATAGATCATGATTTTTTTGAATACTAAGATAAGTGACTACTATGGTGGATGCAAAGAAATCAAAAGAATTGTGTACAGATCAGTGAAGAAATAAGAAAAGGAAACAATATAAAACTAAGACAAAAAGGAGTTTAGAACTACATATGAACTGTTAGATACACTAGTTTACATTATAGCCTCAGTTGTCTATCTCCCAGAGTACTTTCTCTCTTCAAAACTAATATTCAGTTAGTTAAAGACATAAACATAACTCCTCACAGCCTTAGTGATATCTCAAAATTTTACGAGTCTATAATCCATTCAGAGAAAGCCTTCCATCTCTCCACCATACATGTTAGACAGCCAAAGTTACAGCCAGTACGGAACCAAACAGGACTAGTTATTATTTTGAGATTATTTATGTATTAACCAGTTCGATCTCCTGCATCTGAACATGACTTTGCAACATCATGCCTTACTTCTACTAGTATAGGTTCAACAATATATGCCGATTGTATTTATATATACTTACAAGACAACCATTCCTCACTTAAGTTAGAAAGTGTCAGCAGAGACTGTTGACTGCACAAATTAGGACGGGAACGAGTACAACTCTGAGAGTCTGAGTAAACCCAAACCAAATGAAATAAGATTTTTTTTTCCCCATCAAGTGGTTATCTCATAACACCGATGTTGTAACGATCTATCTAATGATGCCTAGATCTCAATTAGGTTAGCCTGAGAATAACCTGTCAGTCCGTCAACTTTTCCCTAGTAAGGCAGATATTTGCTATTGCTACTTTAGGTTCAGTGATACCTTTGCATCATTCCATTCTTTTCTTTTTTCATTTTACATCAATCCATTCTTTTCTTTTTCATTTTTCTTCGTCGGTGGGTGGGTGGGTGGGTGAGTGGGGGTGGGTGTGTGCGTGAACACCCATAGAATCAAGTTAACCTGGAAATAAATTCACTCAAGGCCATTTTCAACAATATATGCCGATTGTATTTATATATACTTACAAGACAACCATTCCTCACTTAAGTTAGAAAGTGTCAGCAGAGACTGTTGACTGCACAAATTAGGACGGGAACGAGTACAACTCTGAGAGTCTGAGTAAACCCAAACCAAATGAAATAAGATTTTTTTTTCCCCATCAAGTGGTTATCTCATAACACCGATGTTGTAACGATCTATCTAATGATGCCTAGATCTCAATTAGGTTAGCCTGAGAATAACCTGTCAGTCCGTCAACTTTTCCCTAGTAAGGCAGATATTTGCTATTGCTACTTTAGGTTCAGTGATACCTTTGCATCATTCCATTCTTTTCTTTTTTCATTTTACATCAATCCATTCTTTTCTTTTTCATTTTTCTTCGTCGGTGGGTGGGTGGGTGGGTGAGTGGGGGTGGGTGTGTGCGTGAACACCCATAGAATCAAGTTAACCTGGAAATAAATTCACTCAAGGCCATTGGCAGCACACATTCATAACATCACAAGGGAGTAACTGAACTTATTAAATGATGGGTTATCTACAACTTAAAAGTAGGAAATCGGTTAAAATCAAGAGGCATCAAAATTGCTTACCTATAACAATTACTAAATCATTAGGGTTTGAGGCCACTCCATCAAACTGGACCAAGAACTCAGATTTCAGTCTTCGACTTGCATCATTCTCATTAGTTAACCGCATAGATAAGATGCTATCAATCTGTCGAGTGGCAGAAAAATAAAGTGATATGTATACACAAGAAAATAAATCCAGAGAAGTTAAAGCATGTAGGGGAATGAGATAAACAAGTAAAAACTTCACAGGAATACATAGTACAAGGTCTAAACATGAAATGAAATAGTCATCAAATTACTAACTTTTGTATAAAATAAATCCCTCCCCCTCCCCCTTGCTTTAAAAAACACAATCTGGAAAAAGGAAAAAATATTCTGGCCCTTGTAAAAGAGCTAGTGATATTAAAAGAAAGAGTTGTAGTTTTTGTAACAATTTCAACTTCGTAGTTTTTGGTTTCCCATAACCATAGCCATTAATTTTTTTAATACATTAACATGAATTTCTATTAAAGGTACACATGAAGAACCACAAACATTTTATAACTATTTCAACTCCGTAGTTTTCGGTTTTCACCAGTTTATAGGTTTCCGTTTAGTTCTGGTATGTTTCTGAAAAAGACTGGGGAAAACTATCTGAAGGAAATGGGACAGACTGCACATGCCTCTAACAATCAAATGACTGATATAGAACCAAAAACATCTAATACGATATTGAATCATCCCAAAAACTCAAACCGAGTTTATATATGCTATTTAGGAAAGGTTCTCAACAGGAACCGTTACGATATGGCTGAAACCAATATGCTTCTCCCTGATACCCAATCCTGGGCTCCTCAGAGAAAAGTCAAGTTTTTACAAAGATGCCTATCAGACTCATTCGGCTGAGTAATCCACGTGTTTCAAAAATGGACAAACATAAATAAGGTGTATCGCGGACTCTCAGTAATCCAACACTGAGAATGGCCATGAATAGCTGTATGATTGAAGTTTGTTGTGAGAGAGAGTTGGGGTTGTGGTTGGCCACACTAAGGCGGTCGAAGACAGGGGTGGGTCGCTGAAGACTGACGAAAGAAGAGAGTTAGGGTTAGGGTTAGGGTTTTAGAGGATGGAGGGCTAGGATTAGATAAAGGGCTACAATTAGAGGATGCCAAATAGTTGTGATGGTTCTTATACCATGTAGAATTAGTATTTAGAGAGAGAGGGAAAAAGGAGATAATTTGTCTCTCCTCTCTTGGTTTATTTATAATAGGTGGGTCAACACATAATAAATCCACAAGCAATGTGGGACTAAAACAATAAGACCAACTAACTCTTTGGATTCTCACCCAAGACTGTCACAAATCCTACTTATTCCAAGTTAGACTAAGGCGATGTAGGATGAAATGATAGTCCTTGAGCAGAATAATACATAGGAGTTGGTTACTCTTCCTCCAGAGAAGAAAGCTATTGGTTGTAAGTGGGTTTACACTATAAAGTTAAACCCAATGAGTCCCTTACTAGTTTGAAGGCGAGACTAGTTGCAAAAGGGTATTCTCAGGTGTATGGGCTTAACTATCTAGCTATCTTCTCACTTGTGGTAGAGATGACTTCCTTATGAGTTTTTATCTCATTAGTTGCGACACTCCACTAGCCTTTTCATCGGTTGGAAATCAAGAATGCTTTTCTCATAGTATTCTAGACAACAATGTTTACATGGAGCAACCACAAGGTTTTGTCCACAAGAGTTTGCTATTTGAGGAGGGGTGTGGAAAGGTGTAGAATGAAGAAATGGCTCTATGGTTTGAAATAGTTGCTCATGGAGGAGTGTGGAAAGGTGTAGAATGAAGAAATGACTCTATGGTTTGAAACAGTCTTTGAGAGTATGGTTTGAATGTTTTACATCGGCTGTTTAGAAGTTTAATCTTTATTGAGCACAGAAAGATCACTCAGTATTTTGGCGGACTCACGCTAGAAAGAGGATTCTCCTTGTAGTGTATATAGATGATATTGTGATCACATGAGATAATAGATAGAGAACTGCAAGCCTAAAGAAGCACCTACGACTATTTTCCAGACAAAGGATCTCAAATCTTTGAAGTACTTTTTTGGTATTAAGGCTACCAGGACTAGGAACTAGGAAGGGCATTCACCCATTACAAAGGAAATGTTCTTGACATGCTCTCAGAGGAAGAGATGCTAAGGTGTGGGAGAGTTAATTTTCCAATGGATGTAAAGAAGTAATGTGCTGCCAGATCAGGGGGAGCTTTGGAAGATGCTAGGGTATATAAAAGATTAGTTGGAAAGTTAAAGCGTTGAACTACCTAAAGGTAACCATACCATATATCACTTTTGTTGTTAGTATAGTTAGCAAATCTCTTTCCAAACGTAGAACGACTTATTTGGATGCTGTGAAGAGTATTATCAGATATCTGAAGAAAACTCCAGAAAAGAGAATTCTATTGCAGATTGTGGACACACTATGTTTTCAGATGCAGATTTGGGAGGATCACACTCTGCTAGGAGAGAAAAAATAACATTTGCGCTACAAATATTAATAGCAAAAAAGTATCAACTAATTTGAGCATATATAGATGATATGGAGAAGTCATGCCAATTGGCTATAGTTTCATACTTGGCTAGTTTTTGTCCATATTTCCAAATTCGTCCTAAAAGACAAAGCTATTTACTTAGATCAAGTAGAAGCTAAAGTGGATCGCCTAGGTGTTCGTTTCACTTTCCAAATGGTTGAAATTCTACTCAATTGTCATCCTCTCTCTAAACCTTCTCTACAAAGTATAAAGGCAAAATGAAATTGGGACCAGAAAAAGGATGAGTTTTCAAAATAACTTATGGGCTCAGTACTTCCATCAAAATAAAGATGTGTGTGCAACACACATTCCAAACTTAATGAGATATGAAACATTTTGATGCCAGAGGTATACATTCAATCAGTCAAGTGAAAAGCCTAAAAACTACACTGACACTTGCAAAAGAGGAACTAGATTGAGAGTCATCCTCATGGATATTTCGGATATATAGATCCTATCTTCACTAAAACATGCTGAAATGATCTCATATATATAAGCAAAAGAAGAATTTTATTTGACAGAGATGGTTTGTACAATTCATCTTACATAGACCTTTGAACTTTTAACTTCTTGCTGAATATTTAAGCTAAGAAGTTTGGTTCTTTTAAAACCCGGGTGTCGAAACTTACCTAAACGCGGGTTCCCATTCCCAAAGCCAATCGGAGTGGAAAATTTGTCATTGATACTAGCCATTCCAAGAGGAACTCGTTTAAGTGTTGTAAATATCTGTATTTGAACTTTAAGATACCAAAAACTTAACAGTAGTGTAAAGAAATCTATTGGGAATAATGAGACTGCCTTTTCTTATCCTCTTGTCTTCCTTTCTTGGCATATAATTAATTTGTCAGAATAGCTCTTCCTTACCATCAAACCAAATGCAATTTTTGATTACAAAGGTGTCTGATAGAAGAGGATAAAGAAATATCAATGAAACATTGATCTGAGATCTACGCTTTTGACCGTGAGGTTATTGCTTTCTACTGAGAAATTGATCGAACTAATGTAATATCTGTAGAGAAAGAGAGTAAAGAGATACATAATTCTGACAAAACCTCACCTCTCTTAAATGGAATTTAGGAGGATATTACAAAACAAGTATGAGATATCAACATATATCTCATAATATCTAACATATTAATAGTATCTAATAATATTAACACTATCCCTCAA